CAGTTCCACAGGCAAGGGGGGGGGGGGGCGAAGGAACGGAAGTTTCTCTTCCTTCCTTTTTCTCTTTTTAAAAGAAATTTCTGCTACGATGGTTTGAAGTATTTATCCCATATCTGAACCGCCATCTACCCTTGGGGAACATGCTACAGCATGATGAGATTTCAATTTTTTATTTTTTCTCCCTCAAGAAGATTCTTATTCAAGAAAACACTCTGGTAGGCCCCAAGCATCACAAGATATAGTGAAATCTCACTTCTCACACTGCAGGCTTAAGTGTGTAACTTTCAACCACATGTAACTTGCCCATTTACAAGAAAAGACACTTAAAACTTGGAACATTTTCACTAAAAATTGATGATTAAATCTCCACAATGCAAAGTAAAAGAATCAAAGGGATCATACAGAAATTATCATGACTGAAGCCAATCATAAATGGTTATTTCAAAAATTTATTGTTTTTGTCTTCCTTTTCTAAAATGAATATAAAACTTTCTCATAAACACAAAAGAAAATCAGCTCCATAGATTTGTCTTTAGAAGTGGAGTTTATGAAAAACACAAAGAAACATACTGAGGTATTACAGGAATAAAAGCTATTTAGGTTATGTTACATTGACAATTAAGCATAAACAAAAATAAAAATTATAAACTTTCATTTGATGCCACTATACTCAGAACCTCACTTTTTCCAGCTGTTAGTGTAAGTCATTTGTAAGGAAAGTCACTTTTTCATGAATCCTAAGTACTGTGCAGCACTATGCCTCCCCCAAAGGTGAAGTCCTAACACTAACAGGAATTACTCAGGCTCCTCAATGTAAAATACTCTTAACAAAAACATTCCTTTCTTATGCTTTCTGTATTTGCTAGATGTTCACCCACTTTGTAAAGATCCTTTCTGCCACCCGACCCCACTGTCTTACTGATGAACGTTCATATGACAGTATCAGATTGCCTTTGTAAAATGAGATGTATTTCAAAAATTGCAAATATTTAAAAGTTATCCCTTGTTATATTAAAAGTAACACAAAGATAAATCACTTCTGAGAATGACTTAACAAAAACACTAATTTAAAAAGATACTACCAAATGCCTATTCCAACACAATGTATTTTTCTCCATCTCATTTAATTAAAAAACTAAAAGATTCTGGGGAAATTTGGTTTACCTTTGGTTTAAAACTAAGACTCTGTCCTATATTTTCCCTGTGACCATGTAATATGCATATTAGTTATACTTTTTTATGACAAAATTCAGAGCAAAACGATATATTTCAAGTACCTTCCCTCCAAGTAGAGCCCTCACACCTGGTAAAAGACAACAAGAGTTCTACAATGCTTTTGACTATCATAGAATCTCTTTCATAACTACAGGCTATAAAGCTTCCCAGAAACTAAGCCACACACAGCAATATTAACACTTTTTTGGATTAATATGTGGTTACTGTGTTAACTACATTACTGAGATTGACTCATTTTCACCGTAATTCTACAGAGTACGGTCCTATTATAATCTCCACTTCATAAAACAGGAGACTAGAAAGCAGAGAAGGTTAAACAGTTTGCCCAAGATCACTGGTGGCATTGGGATTCCAAACAGCCTGGCGGACACAGCTTCCTGACTCACTACATTCTACCACCTGTCCCCAAGTGTGTGAACCTTACGAACAGGCAGCACACAACGTCCTTCTCCTTTCTCCTGCACAAAGCTCATAAAAACCTGAACTAGCCAGGTGTGGTGGCACACGCCTGTAACCACAGCACTCGGGAGGCTGAGGCAGGAGGATCACTGTGAATTCAAGACCAGACTGGGCTACATAGTGAGTTCCAGGTCAGTCTCAACTACATAATGAGACCCTGTCTCAAAAAAAAAAAAAAGAACCAAAAAATAATCATGAACAAAACAGCTAAACTCCCTCATCCATCTTTAATAGTATTTTTATTTTTATACAATCCTGAATCTAAATTGAATTGGAAAAAGATTCCTTAAAATGTTCTTTTAAAAGTAAAACATATTTTTCTTTTTAATTTTAATCAACCTGTACTGAGACAATATGTCTTCTTTTTTTCTGGTACCAGGGATCGAACTCGTGTCCTTAGGCTGGCAAGGCAGGCGACGGCATCACTGAGCTAAATCTTCGCCCAAGTACTATTATTATTGGCGGGGGGGGGGGGTTTGGTGTCGAACTTAGGACCTTTCTCTTGTGAGGGAGGCAGCAGAACCAGAGTTAAAATCCCGACCCTACAATATGTTTTCTTTATAAACATAGCAAGTGAATATAATCAGTTTCCTATTTCTTAAGGTTTTCTGGTTTCTCTTTTGTACCTCTCTGTTGTTTTTCTTCCATCTTAACTATCACACAGGCATGGCTCATATTCAAATAAGGCTGCTGTTAAGGACTTCCAGAAATCTGTCCATCTCACCACCTGCTGAAGGCCTGTCCCATGCTCCTGAATCAGTTCCTGGCCAAGACAGGGTCAGCGTCCTTGTACTGCCCGTCACAGCTGTTCCCTAGTCTCCGCTCGTCCACAGGTGGGACGCCAGGCAGAAGAAGGCCCAACAGAGGCCGCCTTCACACAATGAAACACCAGCCCTCTCTCAGCCTCTTTTGATCACAGCGAGGCTCTTGGACACACGGTTCACAGAGTGCCACTGTTTTCAACTTACATTTAAATAACTAAACCAACAGCAACAACAATAAAAGCATTTATTAGTAGAACACTAATAAAGAAAATATAGTTATCAGTTTTTATACCCAAAAGTCTTTAGATACTTTCTCTTCACGTTACACAGAGCACATTATAAAAATCCCTGTTATAATCACTGATTTGTGACTGTAATATGTCATATATCATATTGAAAATTTACTACCTAGTGTAAGGAATTATGTACAATTCTAACTCTTTGTTCTAGAAAAATTTTTATGGTATTGTTTTGGGTAAACATGCTAAGTAGAGTAAAAATTTTATTAAACAAATCTATACTTTATAAATCATATATAAAAGAGAAAGGCCAAGAGGAGAATAAACAGAATTAGCCAAGGAAGAAGACCATCTGCATGTGGAAGGAACATTTGCTTTATGAGTGTCATTTGGTCTCTTCCAAATGAACAAACATTCCAAAAAAGGTGCGTTTCAATGTTTTGACCACTGTAAGAAACATGCAAATACACTAAAAGAAAATTTTCAAAAGCCATTACTTACTCATACTAATTACAATGTATTCTGAATTTTTAAGTGCTGGTGATTTCATTCCTCACCAGTGACTCACATCTACTACTTGAAAACCTCTGTTCTAAGAGAATCACAACATATCAGAATACAGAAAGACAAAGGTGCTAAACTTGACAATTCTGATAGCTTAGTCACACTTCAGTAGCATTTTAGGGTGCTCTGAAACAAAGCCAAACATACAAACAGTTCCAAGCAATATCTGCCTTAAGAGTAAGTTTCAAAGTAAAAAAAGAGGAAGGGAGTAAACAAGGAAAAATAAATACTCCAGTTACTCAACAAACCCACAGCTGTCATCTCCGTTGCACAGACTATGACTGTTAAACCCTCCTAAGACTGGAACAAGCTGCCCAAGCTCCAGGATTCTCATCCTACTCTGTCCCTAAACCTGACTCTGAGCAGGGTTGGCCAAGCTGGAGTGAAGACGAGGGACTCTGGCCCCTGGGATGGCATCAGGGCCCCGCCCTGGCACTGGTCTCTGCTCCTAGAACAATTGAGACCCAGGCCAGAAGTTAAACTTGGGGATATCTGTAGGCAACCTCATGGGACAGAAAGAAAAGTATTCTAACAACCGTAGCATATATTAGCCAGACATGTTTTCTTGATCACTGTCTACAAATACTGACATGTCAAAGTAAGATTACTGATTACTGAAGAAGACCAAAGTCAGAGAAAAAAGAAAAGTACGGAGGTGATAACTTCATAGTAAGTGGTGTTTATTCTTCAGAAATGGTCAAGTTGGGCGTGGCGGTGCACACCTATAATCCCAGCACTCGGGAGGCTGAGGCAGCAGGACTGCTGCCAGTTTGAGGCCAGGCTGGACAGAGACAAGGGAAGGGGCGGGGAGAACATCGAATACTTTCTGACTAGCAGCAGGGTCACTAGAGGCGTAAGATTCATTATATTGATAAGAAAACAAAAACTCAATTCGAACTCTGAAAATATATATATTTAAATAGCTAGATGCTCCTGTGTGCAACCACAGAAGGCCATCCCTATATCTAGACACACAGCAAAGATAATACACCTCCCTTTCCAAATCAATGAAGAAAAGCATTAAATGTTTTAAAAATGGAAATACTTGCATAGGTGTGTACAACTGTCAAACTTTCTAAAACTATACATACTGAAAATGTACAGCATGTTGTCATATTAATTTTGCCTCAATAAAGCTGCCAGAAGATACTGATCTCCCATCTATGTAAACAAGCTGCATCATTACAGTGATCAGAAAGATCAATGTAATAGTTTCCTCCCAACATTTCCTATTTTTCTCTATTAAGCTTACTTTTCCCTTGTAGTCATTTTATTGTATGCCTGTCCTTTTCCTAAATCACACAGCATTGAGAAGCACAGAAACCAAGAGTGCTGAAGTTCTCTGCTGCTATTCAAATGACCCATTATTACATTCTGGAATGTACCTTTCCTTTAATGACTTAAATCAGTCTAAAAAATTCCTTAATGATTTAATCTCCTTTTCCCCGATAGTTGAGGAAATTCATTTCTAGGCCACGCCTATATCCATGCTCCCTTTCAGAGTTCAGAATTAATCACATCACTACCAGAAATAAATCAACACCTACTAAGGGACAGGATGGAAACCATGAAGACTACTCACATCAGATTTAGAGGACATGTTCTCCTCCACATCTGAATCATTGGGATCCACAATATCGTCAAAAGGTGGTAAAGTTGATTTCTTCTTCTCTGATACCTCACTTTCAATTTTGACCTTTCCCATCTTGACATGAGATTTATCTTTTATCTGTTTTTTATCAGCAGAACAAGTGAGTATCAGTGGTGGTGCACTAGAAAAACTTTTAAATAAAGCCTCTGAGCTACTCTTTTTCCTTTTTTTGGCTGAGAGTTCGTCAGAATCTGAAACAGGGGGCCTTTTACTAGGAGCCTTCTTATCTTGCTGTCCACTAGTGACGGTGAGTAAGTTACTATCTGGTTTTGGCTCTTTTGACATGGGTTTAGGTTCCTTGAAGGCCATTTTAGGAACAATTTTCTCTTCTTTCAGTGGTTTATTTTCTTTGGGTTTCTTGGAGGATTCTTTGGAAGATTTGTTGTGATCCCTGGAAGGTTCTTTGAAGGCACTTTTATGTTCTCTGGAGTCTTTAGAAGGTTTTTCCTTGTGCTCCTTCATTAATTTGTGAGGCTTTGAAAAACTGGTGCTGCTGCTGCTACTGCTGCTGCTGCTGCTGCTGCTACTGCTGCTGCTGCTGCTGCTGCTGCTACTGCTGCTGCTGCTGCTGCTGCTGCTGCTGCTGCTGCTACTGCTGCTGCTGCTGCTGCTGCTGCTGCTGCTGGTATGAATACTCCTATTAGGGTCCTGCACAAAGGGGAGAAGAAAATAAACTCAAAACTAGATAGCAACAAAGACTCAAAAGGCAACTTTCTTGAACTTGGTATACATAAAATTATCCTTCTCTGATTGCTCTCAAGCTAGTTCTAAAATACCAAAACTATTTTAATACAAGTCAAAAGAGCATAATAGGTCAGTACAGTATATGTGAAAAACAGGGAGAGAAGGTTACTATGACCAAAGAATTTAATGAGGCAAGCTGGCTTTTTAATCACTGGAAGCGTAGGGTTTTAAAACATTTCAATTCAACAAATGATAACTACATCCTTGTCCTAGAAGACACAAAGATGAATAAAACATGGGCCCACTCTTAATAGTTCTGGCCTATTTATGACTGAGGGTCATTGGAAGAGTCACCTATAAAGTGCTATGGCAACCAAAGATGGGGGCAAGGAAAATTCAGTTTATTTAATAAAGAAGTATCAGGACAATTCAGACCAGAGGATAAGCAGATAATTACTAGAAGGAGAAGAATGAAATGGCTTATAGTCCAGGGACCAGAATAAACTAAACTAAGGGAGCAAATCACAGAGTGCTGTGTTTGGGGAACAGCATCTAGCTATAAGCACAAGACTGAGAAGGAGGTGGGAAAATAGCTCAAGGTAACCTAGGAAAGTCAGGTTACATTAAATTTTAAATGACTTTGCAATATAAAAAAATCACGAGACCCTCCAAAAGAAACAATTTCTAATTTGAGATTTTTAATAAACTATTGTTTTTATTCTGTTTAAAATTTCATCTACTAAGGGTATGTCTCTATTAGAGGTGGAAAAAAGGAATGTAACAGAATAAAGATTTCCCCCAAATATCAAATGGACTGAAGTCATTAGCAATTACTGTATGTAATCATGAGAAAAGAGGTAATTGCTCCTATTTTATCTCAAATAGTATCGATTTCTTCACTCATATGAACAACTCAAAATATACGGCATCTAAATAATTTTTCTGTTTAGGAATAAAATCCGAGTCCATACTTACCACATTTGTGAACCTCTACCATTAATGGTAGGAATAAGAAACAGAAGTACGTCCTGGACATGCAAAAGGTCATGCCAGTACTAAGAGGAGAGGTGATTTCTTGCTGATTTCCATCCAAAGACAAATAAATGTCCAAAATTTCAACTAGAATTTACATCTTTAGGCTTTTTTTTGGGGGGGGGTGTTCTTTGTTCTGTTGTGTTGTGTTTTTTGAGTCCAAGTCTTCTTATGTAGTTAAGGCTGGCCTTAAATTCACTATGCAACCAGACTGGCCTTGAACTCACAGCAACTGTCATGCCTCAGCCTCTCAAGCAGGCCCATGCCGCCATGCCTAGCTTTTCACTCCTATTTCTCCCACTTAAGCCCAAAGAAATATAAACCAACCCTACATACTCCATTTATTTTCTCAAGGAAGCATTTGGTTTCAAATATAATGAATAAAGTCACTAAGCAAAGATTTGCTTTTATGCATCAAACTAGACAATTCCTTACACAATATCTGAAGCTGAGGTTTTAAAACAGAATGTTTTAAAATTAGAATTCATATAACTGAAATGTCATTATCTTATAAATCCTATTATAAGACATTTCCTGGAATGTTATGCTATTGCTATGAATAATTAAAGTAAAATGGATAAACTAAATTAAGAAAGAACATTTTGAAATCTAATATCCTTGAGTATTTTTTTTCTTTTTATTGAGTTTATTGGTACAATCCAGGTATAAAATATAGCTATATTCATCATTGGAATTCTGTACCTTTACATAATAGGTCTTGATTCTCATTTTTTCCCCTTATCCCTGCTCTCCCTTCAGCCCCTCCTGCCCTGCCCATTTACAAACACTTTATTTCCATTTTTTTTCATTTTCTCATATTTTTTTCCTCTTCCTTATTGCCTTTCCCCCACCCTTCCCACTTTCCCTAAACCTTTAGCCCTTTACTTCCTATTTCACATTATTACTTCATTAGCATCCTGTGTACCATTATAGTTTTTCACACCAAAGAAGCTATTCGGTATTTCAGTTAAAGAAATCTCTGTATGAACATTAAAAATAGGGAATCCTAAAATAAAATTAAAAAGGAAAGTAAAAGAGAAAAAGCAATGATGTAACATTAAAATAATTCTTAATTCTGGAGATGAAAATGGTCCCTGAACATATTTAAATTGCTTCTTGCTCTTATAGTCTTGTCTTATTCTTTTTTTTTCATCATTTAGAGAACACTTTATTAGTTTCTGTAATCAAACCCATGTAGATATGACCTTACATATTTAGTACGGTGTGTTACCCCTGTATACATGGAAAAAAAATAAAAATTAAAAAAATAAACATTTCTAGACCAATATGGCTGTCCATTTCTGTACAATGCCAACTCAACACGGTAAATTGGGATGACTTTTTCAAAAGTTGGCAGCACTGTCAAAGTTTCCCAAAATTCAATTTACGTGTGTGTGTGTGTGTGTGTGTGTGTATACACACACACACACACACACACACACGTAAATTGAATTTTGGGAAACTTTGACAGTGCTGCCAACTTTTGAAAAAGTCATCCCAATTTACCGTGTTGAGTTGGCATTGTACAGAAATGGACAGCCATATTGGTCTAGAAATGTTTATTTTTTTAATTTTTATTTTTTTTCCATGTATACAGGGGTAACACACCGTACTAAATATGTAAGGTCATTTACACGGGGCACCATTTTTTTTATTAGCATCTTAATCATCATCTGGAAAGAGAACATTCTAGAGTAATATCATTAAATGTAGCTCTGATAAAGCATAGTCCCTACTATGTATCATAAAGCAGGTACCAGATATTTTACATTCATAGAGGTATTATACAGTACCGTCCTACATCAATAATACTAGAATCAGTTTTGGTTTCAAATTTACTTTTTCTGCCAATAAGATTGCTACCCCTGCTTTTTTCTGGGCTCCTGTCACATAGAGAATTGTTTTCTATCTTTTCACTTTCAGTCTATGGGCTTCTTTTTGCACTAGGTGTGTTTCTTGTATACAACATATTGTTGGATTTTGCTTCTTATTCCATTTTGCCAGTGTATTTCTCCTGATTGGTCAGTTGAGGCCATTGACATTGCTGGTTATAACTGATATGTACTGGCTTATTATTGACGTGTTATTGGCCTTTTGTTGACTCTTTTTACTTTTTCACCTTCTCCTTTTAATTTCTTGCCTTGCCTATTTGATTTGCTCTGTTGGGCCTCATGGTGTTGTTGCCTTCATTGTCTTTTTCTAGGATCTTGTTTAGAATTGCTTGTAGTGCTGGTTTGGTATTCATGTAGTTTCTCAGGTGTTCTTTGTCGTGGAAGTGTCTTATTTCCCCATCCATTTTGAAAGAGAGTTTTGCTGGATACATCAGTCTAGGTTGGAGGTTGTTCTCTTTTAGTACTTGAAATATCTCATTCCAGGCTCTCCTTGCCCCAAGGGTTTGTGTTGAAAAGTCTGCTGTGATTCTGATGGGCTTTCCTTTGTATGTGATTTGTTTCTTTTCTCTTACTGCTTGTAGTATTTTGTTCTTCTGTTGGGTTTCTGGGATCTTGATTATTATATGTCTAGGTGTAGATTTTTTTTGATTGTAGCTAGTTGGGGTCCTATATGCCTCAGTTATCAGAATGTCAAATTCTTCCCCTCTGTTTGGGAAGTTTTCTCTCATTAATTCTGTGAACAGCTTTTTAAAGTCATTTGTATTTTCTCCTTCTACTTCATGGATTCCTATCAGTCTTAGGTTATTCTTCTTTGCATCGTCTAGGAGTTGTTGGATCGATTTCTCATGATCCCTTACTGTTTTTAAGAGACCTCTCTTTTCATGATCACTGACTGCAATCTTATCTTCTATATTTGAGACTCTATCTTCACATTCTTTTATTCTGTTGTGTACACTTTCTATGGAGTGTTTAATCGCCTGCATATCTGTTTTATGGATTCCATTTCTTTCCTATGTTGGGCGTTTATTTTTTCCATTTTTTTCTTATGCTGGGCCTTCATGGCTTCTATCATGGTCCTGAGCTCATCTATTTTTTTGTCAGTTTCTGCTCTAGAGTCTCGAATCACGACTTCCATTTTGCTCACCATCTCTATGGTTATCTGGGAAATTAGTTCTGTTTTGAATTTTTCTAGAGCCTGATTGATCTGTTTTGTTACTTCCTGTGCTTTGAGTTCAGGGTGTCCTGGTGGTTCACTATCAGCCTTTTCATCCTCATTTGCCCTACTGTTTGCCATTGGTGAACTGGAAGTCTGTCTTTGTGTCTTGCTTAAGTGTTTTCTCATTTTTATTTTTGTTGTCGGACTGTCCTTGGTTTAATCTCTGGGTTATAACCCAAATCTTCCTGATATAGTTGCGCCCTAGCTTCTGTGTCTCTAACGACCCACAGACATTCTCATCTTCATAACATCAGAGAAAACAGCTCATCAAATCAACTGCAATGCTTTACCCCAACTGATACAATCAGCAACACATTAAGATCAACACAACTTTGACACTGACCACCGGTAGTAGTCACTCGTCTATCACCCTTAAATCATTTGAATTAAATTGAAATCAAGAAGCAGTCCAGAACATGTCTGCAGTGAACAAAATTTCCATATAGTGTATTTACCATTTAATGGCTCAGACAGAGTGAGGATGCAAGACCCCTGATCTCAGTTAGCTGATGGCTGAACCCCATGATGCTGACTGACCTCGGGCTGCAAGGCCCAGATTGAGTTCCCCAACCTTCTGAACGGTTGAACTCGACAACGTTCTATTACAGGTTTCCCACGCCCTTTCTTTAAAGATGTTCAAAGTTGGGAACTCAGAAAAATACCCTTGATGACCACCTCTGCCTCTGCAGAGTGGGTCCAAAGACTGGCACAGTCAGGAGGTCAGAGAGTGCGGGGGAGGGGGATTTATGGGGATTCAGGGGTGCCCGCGGCTACCTTCCCGGCGCTTGAGTCGGGCGCAGGCGTGGCTCTCCTTCCCGCAGTGG